AAGAAGTGAAGATGTAATTATAAGGAACCCGCTGTCGGATTCACCGACAAATTTTGCATTTGGCGCCCAATTTTTATCCAATTTGGTTCAGCGCGGAGCAAGCACCAAATTTTCTAATGGCATTCCATGACTTTGCCGCTTCTATAGATTTTTATACGGTATGAAAGAATAAAAGATTATCAATATTTTTTCTTTATTTATCCTTCTCCACTTTCAAAAGTAATCGAAAACCTGATTAGAATATATAAAATTCATAGTACGATTAAACGAATGAAAAATGATTATATCTTATAAGTGTAAAAGAGAACACATCATTATAATTATAGAGTTTAACTAATCTATCTATCAATATTTTCTTCAGATAATACTGAATATTCAAATGTTACGAGGATAATTAATCGTTGAATTGATACAATTAGTAAAAACCAGCTTCACATCGCATTTTGCATGTCGAGTGAAACTTAAATGGCATCTAGTTTCTAATTCAAATTTGCTTTTGTCCAAAAAATGTTTTCTTTTCACTCAATTTCGACGATGATGTCTGCACTAGGCACTCAGGAACTAAAATTCTTGGCAGCAGAGTTTTAAACTCTTTTCTTTAGCACATATGTCGTATCCAAACATAGTGACGAAGTTCATTTCTGACTCGTTCGTCTACTAGTTAATGCGGATAGTTCACCGCATGTTTTCTGCAACGAACCCACTGATGCACTTGTTCACATTGTTTTATAACTGTATCAATTTAAAATATGTTTGCATAGAAAAATTAGGCACAACTTATAACGTCGTTTTATCATAAAGGGTGTCCCAGAAGTTCTGTTACAAATTTGAAATTTACCGTTCTCGCGTTCAACAAAAGCAAACTTCTTGAAACTTTGGTAGATTATTGTACATATCAAGTACTACATAACTACAAAGTTTGAGGTCTGTAGCTTTTACTATGGATGAGAACCAGTAACAATATTGTTATGTACTATTTTTTCAATTTTTCAGTAGCGAAAATTCGATATAAAGATGGTAGAAGAAGTGTTATTCGCAGAGCCTCTCTAGTCAACACGTGTCAGAACAGAGCGGATATATTTCCTTTTCTGCACGTGTCCATAACAGGGATTTGAAAAAGATATATCCATCATGGAAAGTAAAAGATATCTTTTACTTTCCATGATGGGTATATCTTTTTCAAATATAATACGAAAGAGCGAAATTCTTTTTTGTCTTTAGCAGATACTTGATGTGACATTCTGACTTGATTTCAGTCGTAATGAACTAATGTTGTCCTTTATACATCCCTGTTATGGACACGCGCAGAAAAGGAAATATATCCGCTCTGTTCTGACACGTGTTGACAAGAGAGGCTCTGCAAATAACACGTCTTCTACCATCTTTATATCGAATTTTCGCTACTGAAAAATTGAAAAAATAGTACATAACAACATTGTTACTGGTTCTCATACATAGTAAAAGCTATACATAAAGGTGGATGAGAGAATTGATCAACATGATTAGTATCATAAACATCTGGACACGTGGCTCCGAAATGACATGGTAGTAAATCACGAATGCGAACATCTTTCACAGTCGAACCATTAGATAAGACTCGATAAGGGCCATACGTTGTATTCGGTTGATTGAAGCATGTAATCGGTCGTACTACTAGTCCATCTAGTTCTTCTTTAAATGATTTAAAATTACCTTGTGGATTATGCTTTTGTCCTGTATTATGATCGTCAACAATGGCAAATATGATTTCTTGAAAAAAGCCTGTGTATTGTTCAATAACTGTATGAAATAGTTTTGCAGCATGAGCGGGCGGATTTCGAAATGCACCACAGCCTAAAGCCGATAAAACGAGGTAATCATGTTTGTGATGATAAGCTATGGCAAAGATGTTTTCAATTTTCTTTCGCATTCCAACAGCATATTTCGGTGCTAACATAGTTCCATTCAACATTGGATCTCGATAAGCAGCCATTGCTAACGAACAGACACCGTATAACGGTTTATTCATATATTCATAATCAGTATTTTCGGGTTGACAGTCAAACCTGACGTGTAAATAGCTCCATATTCATCCATCGGATACATCTTCTGTGAATCGAAATATGAATCGAGGTCACACTGTGATGTGCAATGAGATCGTTCGCATGACTCTTCCTGAATTTCGTCAAGACCAACATCGAGACTTCTAAAATAATCTGATCGTCGAAAGAGATTCTCTTCTTGTGCTCCGTCCCCCTTTCGATAACCACCACCTGGACGCGTTGCATTGGCCATATTCAATAAAAGCGGTTTTTTTCCTTCTAAAACCAAACGTTCGTAAACAACGAGACAATCTTCGTTTACGACTTTGTTTCCGTTGTTCTATAGGGTGTTTTCTCCAGTGGCGTTGGTCTACTACGTTGCAATGTTGACTGATGGCTATAGATGATTGTCTGTAAATTTTTTTCCAAATTTAATTCGATCATACGATTACCGATTATGTAGCTTTTCTTGCGTATTGTGGCAATTGTATTGAGCATTACAGTAACTCGAAGTTGATGACGTATTACATCGGGTGATATGCCTGTGAAATTCCACCCATTGACATGTCTACTTACACTTTGATCGTGTGTTGAAAATCGCTTGAACTGTTCGAGCCATAATTGCGAATTCCATTTGAAACGAAATATTTCATGATCAGGATTTCAAACGAATTGCATGATGTCAGGCTGGTATCGAAACATTTCACTTTCATACCAAGTATCCGAATCTATCTCACGCTCTTCCGGATCACTGAATGGAGTGTAAATTGTCATTATCAACGATGTTCTATCATTAATACGAAGTGCTCCGACTCTAAGACAATAGTCAAAGATATTTTTATCCGATATTTCGAGAATTAAATTGTCGTGACGATGTTTAATCATTTTTGCTTTGTTATTGAACATCGTATGATTAACAGTAGTATCTATTTTATATGATTCAGGAATCGGACGAAGGAGTAAACGACAGGTAAGATTTTCTTTCTTTGATACTGATTTATTTTCGAGATAAAGAAAACTTTGCGTAGCCCATTTTCGTGCAGCATCACACGCAATAACACATGCGTTGTTTGCCTGTTTATTTAATTCAATATGAAGAGACAACGGCGAAATATTCTCAAGACCGATCGTTCTACAAATAGCTTCTCGTAATTGATCTTCGGTTGTCGATCTTGGAAGATCTTCGAAATAACTGCAATCTGCGCCTAAATATATCCGAGCGATTCGATTTTTAATTGCGAAATCTTCATGTCGCAATCAAGTACAATGTATGACCCTAATTCAATTGTTCCAGTGAATGAAATCGTAGCTGAACCATCCTTTGAGTCCAATGCTATTTTGCCAACAATTTTAACTAAATGTTCTTTTATTTTATTGTTTTTGACTCGAATGAAACAGACGCCTAATTTCGAATAACATCGAATATCGATTACTTGTATTCGAAACATAGCATCGATGCGATGGCGAATTGAGTCTGCTAACTCGAAATCATTCTTGTTGATTAATGGTAAATCTGTAATGTAAACAACGGCTTTCGATTCTGCAGGTGATGGGGACGGAGATCAAGATGATGATCCACTTCGTGGTTTCGATACTTTTGGAGTGTGATCAACGCTGGACGAGAAGAATTGATCTGAGGCAGGATAAAACGTGGCGTCTGATGAAGAATTGAAATGGGATTGATCTGCAAAAATATCCGTGGAACAAGAAATCTCTGTTTTCAAATAGATTCTGAAGGCAGGACACTCAGATCAAACAATCAAATGATCAGATCCTTCAAGATTGACATCTGACCTTGTATGATATTTAGAGAATCAGGCGAAGACGTACGAAAAACCGTGGTGGCTGAGTCTTACCATTAGAGCCCATCGGGTCCAGGAACTTCTGGATCCGGACCCAATACATTAAACTTTTTCAAAGTCGTTCTTCTGATGCCCTTAATGAGGTTTCCTAATTTGAATCTAATAGTTAGATCCTGCCGGGTCTAAAACTTTTAGAACCTGATGGGATTAGTCAAAATTTTCAAACTCGAACCTGGTCGAGTCTGACCTAATGAGCTTCACTTGCGATACGATCCCTACAAAATCTCACTGCTTTACAAGATCTCATATGGTCTTTCAAGAAGACCGTATAGATAATATGATCTTGCAAGAATCGTACGTCAAAGCTTGATGTAAGTTTTGCAGACACCATGAATTCTCCTACGTTTTTCCTACGATTTTATCTGATCTACAAGATATTACGTCTGACTTTTTCACCTGGATAGTGCTAGAAGAAAAATTAAGTACTGAAATCAAACGCATGGAAATACACAAATTCAAGTTACACTGATATACAAATATCATATCAGATGAAAAATGATGTTCATCAATCAATTCTTGTAAATGCTTGCTCTATCATTTACTATCTGACTTGGTTGTATAGAGAAGAAACGAATTGTAGAGCTCAAAGAGATATTCATTCAAAAAAATATATAATCAGTTGCTTAAGATTGGTTCTAGTCTTAGCTAAACATTTTCTGGCTATAAATATAATGTGCATTATTACTGATATTTCTTAATCATTCCGTCTATATATTTCTACTCTTGCAAATAA